ATTATATAAATATAATTTATATATTAAATATATTCTTTAATATAATAAAATATTATACAATGTGTATTATATGGTAAATAGTGAATAGTGTATAGTGATCAGTAGATCCACTTGTGAAAATAAAAATCAGGAAATCCTTTCCCATGGGTTGAGGTGTGGTTTTGTTTTTATGTAAAGTAGACCATTTTATGCTAAAACTTTACTATGGGTTCAGTTTTCATATGTTTTCTTTTTTTACCAAACATGTGTGAGGCAATTTTATCGTGAAAATATTTTTAGGGAAATATTTTAACACCAACCAAACATGCCCTTAGATTCATGGTCATGGCTGTCTAGATTATAGACCTACATAATTTTTGTCCACATTGTAGACCTATGAAATTTTGCATCCACTATCATGTTGGGTATATATGGCCATTAAAGGCTTATAAGTAATATAATGGAACTTGAACTCAGTGGGAGTGTGGTCTTGTATGGACAATACTAAGCAAATGATGTTTGTTGATATCGGACTGAATTTGACATGCTAGGCCAGTTGGTTGGAAAAAAATCATGTTATCTGGGCATGAGATTAAACTGATAAAGATTATAATGACTAATACCCTTAATGAGGTCGAAGTATGCCCAGATGAGTGAGTCTAACAAATATGTGACCCTTGTGTGTGATGGTAGCCCTTAGAGATGGAGGTCAAAGCCTCATCAACGTACCATCACATGGCATGCACATATGATAACTGTATCAGAAAAGCGAACCACCTTTCAGGGTGAAGCATGCGAATATGCGAGAGATTATCTATGTGCATCATAGAGTTGTGGTTGCACCAGGTCTAGATGACATTGGTTCGTCTCTAGGGGATAACCTGAAATCCACAAACTCGGATTACATCCCCTTGCTCATTGGCTGACTTTGGTGGCCCAATCATGAGCCCCTACTGTTGGTCATGGGAACGATTGGGTCAGTTTGAGAAAGCAAGAGTGGATCGTGGTCCACAGTAAAAGGTGGATTGCTCTAGAGTTTTAATTTTTTTTAAACCATATGGATCCAATTCCTAGCAAATGTATTTAATTATATTTGTTTTAATGTTATTTGAATTTTACGATTGTTATTTGATTTTTTTTAATATCTGAGTATTTTATTTATGAAATTTGGATTTATAAAAACATAAATATTGATTCTATATTGATTTAAATATTCAAATAGATTTAATAAATTCTAAAAATCAATATTTTAATTTTAAAATATTTTGTGGTTGCATGGGGACAATTAGTGCACATGGACCCACTATGAAAAAGTTGGTGCGGCCCATTAG